AAAGATTTAAAGTCAGAAATTATTTTTAAAAGATAGAAACAGCGGCTCTTCTATGTTCAATCAAATAAGTTTAAAGAGTGAACAAAAAGTTTGTAGAATGATATTTAAATATCCTCGCGTAGAAAGAGAATTATATTTTTTTTAAATTGGTTTGGAAAATAATATTGAAGCCTCCAACACCATACAATGAAACAATTTATGTATAACTAGTCAACAAAGATTCATACAATTTGTGAAATTATTTTTTCATTGATAAAGCAAGATAACCAAAATTCGTACTTCAAACTACAGAAATGAATTATTTAACAAAAATAATTTATTAATATTCTTCTTGAATGTCGGCCTTCGTTAAAACTGCTTAACAATGAATTTACGAAGCTAGTTAAGGCTATTCTCCTGTATAAAAATAACGAAAAGCCTGTAGACCTCCAATACCATACACCTGAGAAGAATTATATACTTCGTTAAAAAAAAGTTCGAGGAAAATTATTATTAGAGCTTAGACGAAACGTAGGAAAGTTTATGTGCCAAAGGGTAAAATCCTTACTACTCCAAATGGGGGAAGATAGACAAAAAAGAGAGAAAATCAAAATTTAAGGGCAAATGTAGTAGATATAGTGTAGAAAACTGTAATTACATAAAAGATTCTACGGGCTTTTCTCCAGTTATCCTTTTTAAAAAATCCGTGCACTGAAAGTACTTTTGGTTTTTAAATTATTATTATTGAACTTCAGTCAAAACGAGAACTTGAAGTATTAGTTTCATTATTTTTAAAATCTTTTTACTTCTTTTCTATTGAAAAGATTTTTTATTTGAATTCGTTTTTAATTTTTTAGAACTATTACAAAAATTAAAACCAATTGAATTATTATTTAATTATTTACTCATACTATTTTGTTAAAATCTCCTGCACTAGTTGGATATCTTAAGCTTTCCCTAACATATAATACATTCTGTCTGGGGCGTCGGTGGCCGCAAAGATTTATGCGTTGACACGGCGCCCATCACTGTAAGGTAAAGGTCCCGGGTTTGAATCCAGCGGCCCTGCATTCGAACTCGACATAATTACAAATGAACCTTTATTCAAAAACACCGGCACCCCGAGGATTGATATAATCTCTGCCGTTGCGAACCGTCGTAAAACAAAATCCACTAGCGTTCTGGCTTTGATGCTCGATTTTCTTGTTTTCTGTCGGCTCCTTTGTTGAGGATTTTTGACTTCTACAAGTGCTTCAAATTGTTTGTACTATAGAAAAATATTATTGAATAAAAAGAACAGTTATATCTGTTTTACGTATTAAAGAAGTCTCCAAAGATTAATAAATTTAGGACAGTACACGTTACATAGGGAATTAATTTTAAAAAAATATTGTGTTCTATCATAGGAGAATATTAAAGCTGGAGAAACGTGGAGAAATTAGTAAACTAAAACCAATTTTAAATACAATTTTAAAGTTAAGTTCTTAGCAATGGTTAGGCGAGTCCATAGACTCGCAATTGGATTGTCGTTATCTTAATTGGTTAACGGCAAACCTTTCTTCAAAAAGGAAGGTGCTATGATGGTGTCCCACTCCAAATAATTTTTTTTTTTATAATTTGTAGTACATTACAACTACCTTAAAGTAGGTAATAAGTAACAGTGAGCAAGGTAATTAAAACAAAACAAAATTAAAACCAAGAGTGAAAACACCCATTGGTATTACTCCAATGTTACAATAATATTGTTTGTTCAATTGATACGTGTATCATTATCACTTTCACTGTCATCACCATCACTTCCTAGGAGATCTCGCGGCCATTGTCTCTTCAGTCGGCGAGGAGGGTTTGAGGGGATTCGTCGAGATGCGAGGTTTCTGATGTGTTGGTTTACGTTAGTTGGGAGGTTTTTATGAAATTTACGGTAACTGAAACGTATTTCATCTTGTACGAAAGGAATATGTAAATCTGTATGTGTAGTTTGGTTCGATATATAAAATGGAGCATCCAGTATTTTTCGTAGTATTATAGACTGGGCAGTGTGAATGCGGTGGATATTGGAATGTTTGGCTGAACCCCACACTTCCAATCCGTAAGTCCAAATCGGCTTAACTATGGTGTTGTAAAGCAGCCTTTTATTTTTGAGAGGTAAATTAGAGCGTTTGTCAAGAAGTCGTGCAATAACTCTAAATCGTGTCATAACCTCCTAACGTTTCAGTCTTGTGTGAAGATTCCACGTCAGGCGTTTGTCGATGTACAACCGAGGTTTCGCACCTTGTCCTCAGTTGGGAGGGGAATATTGTTTAAGAAAACGGGGGGGGGGATCTTTTTACGAAGAGTGAAAGTAATGTGGATGGATTTGTCTGTGTTAAATTTTATCCTTTTCTTTTTACACCAAGACTCTAGTAGTATGAGGTGTTGTTGGAGGTTTTGAGTGGAAATGACAAGGTCGGAGTTGCTAGAGAGAATTGCCGTATCGTCTGCAAATGTGAATGTGTTGGTTTCGGGATGAGATGGCATGTCAGCTGTGAAAACCTGGTACAGTGTAGGGGCCAGAATGCTACCCTGAGGCCCACCAGCATGGATAGGAAAATATGAAGAGAGGGAATGGCCTTTGATGACTTGGAAGAATCGGTCAGTGAGGTAACTGTGCAGTTCGAGGTGGATGGAAGGATGCCCTTGAGCATGAACAGCAGGCCCGGGTGCCAAACTCGATCAAAAGCTTGACTTACGTCAAGAAAGGCTCCGGAACAGTACTGTCCTATCTCAAGGGAGGATGAAATAATGAATAGACTGCTGGACAGTTGAGTAGCGGTTGCGAAAACCAAATTGATGGTCTGGGATTATGTTTTGAAAATTTAGAATCGGAAGAATTCTTTTCAGTAGGAGTTTTTCTAAAATTTTCCCCAAAGTAGGTAGTAGACTTATTGGCTTATATGAAGTAGTACAATGTGTTGGCTTTTTTGAAAATTTTCAAATTAATTTCAAATTTCAAAAAATAAAATTTTCAAATTTTCAAATTAGGAAAAAACCCGACAAATCTGATTGGTCGGGAATGGGTCAGCTGGAAAATTTCAAAAGAGGATTAACAAAAAGACAATCAGTCGCCATTTTGCTCGGCCCGAAAAGTGTATCCTGTTGCTTAAGTTAGATTGACTGTAAAGGTTAGAAAATATATAAAATTTGAGAGAAAAGGTTTTGGAAGGTGTTTGATTCAGTTAGCAAACCATTAGTGTAAATTTTATTTTGAGTTTTAAATTAAAAGGCTCGAAGGGTTTCGGGATTCTCCCTTACGACATCAAACTGTAAGTCGTTTTTATTCTTATATTATATCTATCAACTGTTCCCTGAAAGATTGGAATCAATTTTTAATGTTAATCATCACAATTCAATGAATTTTTTGTGAAGTTATTATTTTTTTCTCTCATTATTCTATAAAAAATTATAGCATCACAAAGATTGGTTTGTTCTTTGTTGTTTTTGGTTTGTTCTTGTTTTTCGTTCCTTCAAAAGCGTATTTTGACCTATTACAACTCTCCTTGAACAATTTAACAACCGTCATCGTCAGACCTAGGTCTACCCCGGGTCACCAGAACACCAGTGAAGTAGTCACAGGTCCGATTCTGCACATATTTAGATACTTGTGCATGTGGAGACTTGATATTTCATTATTTCATAAATCAAACAAGAAATTGACCCGTCGACCAATACCTAAGAATCTGAGAATAAGCCATTCTCTAACTAAATTATGAATACCCAAGCTTTTCAAATTGTTACCATTTCTTCAAGTCTAGTTAACAAAACGGTCTACCTAAAAAATCATGTTAGACATACGTGCGCATAAAATTTAATCATATTGATTAATTATTTCGGAAGTTATTAGTATTTTCATTGAAACCGTTGAGTTCATTTGATCAGACAACAAAAAGTTCATCCGATATTTTCTTCCATGTTTAGTAGTACTTACATACATTTCTAAATACATCTTAAACTTTTTGATGTTTTTGAACTAACAGTAACTGGACGAAATAGATTAAAATATGTTCACTTTAATAATATCTTAATCGTGTTAGAATTCAAGAAAGTAAATTTTGAATTTCGGCAAATAAAAAGAATTCTGAAGGCAAACTGTTTGCTCTCGGGTGCTTCTTCTCGTTCGGGCTGAAGTTTGCCTTTATAATGAGGTTTGTATTCAGGCATTATTCTTAGAATTTTAAATCCAGGTAACTCTTTCACCGGCTATCAGAGGAAGTTGCCCTTTTAAAGACAAAATCCTCCATAGTTTTCTAACCCTAATGATGTTTTGTTCGACCTATTAAGAAAACTTAATCGAAGTATAGATTTACTTAATATATCTCTATTGAAACAATTCCACACCGGCCATAAACGTGATTTGTGGAATTGAACCGTTCATCTGCCACATGCTTTATTAGCGCAGTTTTTTGCCCTTGGAACTGCACCAGAAAATGTATTATAATTGATAATTACTCACTTCAAATTGACGTTTATCCAACCCTGGCGAAACTCACCTGAAAAAGAAACACGAATTTAAAAATGTAATTGTACACAATTTTCTATTATTGGACCTGTGGTAACATTGAGTATCTAGAGTGATAACAAGTAGAAAAAGGTTCTGCTTAAATTTAATCTGTTGATCAAATTTGTATTTCAATATTCAAGAAATAGTCTTAAAATTTAACGTTCATCCATTAGATTTCGTGATCCGATCGACCAAATAACTTCTTTCAATTAATTAATCATTATGAAAAGTATTGGTTGAGACAAAAAACCAGTGTCCGAACGGGACGGGGTCGTGGGTTCGAATCCCGCTCTGACACTGGATTTTCATCTCAACCAATTCCTTGCATAAAGATTATTTAAGTTTTATTTTGTACTTTCTCCATTGCTGTTGATTCTTAAAGAAATGTTTAGTTTGTATTTGTATTGTTTTGAATCATTAAAATATTACATTGATGTTACCAATAGAAAAAAGTATTTAACTCATTAGTTCATAGTTCATGTACCTTATAATTTGAAGAAATATTGCTGCTAGAAGACGAGTATCGGCGGACAAACAGTCAGTTTGTCGATTGTCAAGACATCAACGTAAAGCTCAATGTTTTTCATAAAACTAGACAACTTGTGGGCTATGCTGGCGTTTCAAATTCTAAAGGAAGAAGAACGACACACCTTAGAACGTAATGAAGTGTTTTTCTTAACATAGCAACTTTGAAGTCAAATCAATCGTGCTGTGTGTAAAGTAACGAATTAATCCGGAACTATTCCGCCCCTAGAGATATAACCGAGCTCTCTGCTTCATTTTGAATTTAAACTCTTAAAGATCCGATCCGAAGATTTAAAAAAAACGTAAATTAGAAAAGTTCCACTGACCGTTCTTATATAGGTGAAAGGGCGTTTAAAAGGACTGGTGCAGCAGACAGAGTGGCTGGCCCGCGGTCGATATATCCACATCCCGCCAACGCCTCCTCTTTCCTGCCCCCGCAACAACTACATCCCTCTTAGTTTATTTATCCAGGGCCTTATCCTATTGCACACATCACGAAAATATTTTTCAACAAGCGTATCGATCTCTTAAGAACTCGGATGTGGTCATTTCAATCGACCCTGTTATGATCCATTTCACATCCTTTCAAATGTGTATTCAAACTGATCTTCCAATGAAAAGCATGTCAGTTGCATACAAATACTTTTAATTTAACATAGACTTTAGATATAATTAATACTAGCTAGTAATTACTAGCATTTTAGTTTTTATTGTACAACAACATATTTAACATATGTATATACGTTTAAAATATGTCTAAATATGTATATATATATATATATATATATATATATTTTTANTCCTAATAAAGTTTAAATTGGAATTAAAAAGGTTAATTTGAAGTTCAAAAAGGTTAAATTGAAATTCAAAAAGGTTAATTTGAAGTTAAAAAAAGGTTAATTTGAAGTTCAATTAAAATTTAAAATGGGTAAATTTGAAGTTACAAAAGATTAATTTGAAATTAAAAGGGTAAATTTGAAGTCAAGTTCATTTGAAATTTAAAAAATTAATGTGACGTTAAAAAGCTATACATTACATACTATTTTATACTTCAAAGAAGAATGAAAATACTTATTTCCTGCATCCAGCTTTCGTACAATTTATTAAATTATGAAATATAATAAAATTTCAACAGATTAACAAACAATAACATATATTCATAATTTTGAAACCTATGGTGTCAAATACAATAAATTCAAAATTTGAAAACATATAGCACCAGATCGAAAACACTGAGCGGCAAAAAAATGGCCACCCTCGTTTTTTTATTAAATAGTTGCAATCGTTATAATTTTTATTTTTTGTTATTTACTGGATATTTTCGAAGAAAAATATAAGATAGCTAAATAAAAAATTAAACTAAATGAAAAATGTTATCAGAAATGTTGATATGGAAATAACGAAGAAAATATTCTATTCAGTACGGAGTATTTTCTCCTCTTGCGTTGATCACGGCTTGCATTCGACGCGGCATCGATTTCATGAGGTTTGGAATGTATAGTGCAGTGAAATAATTCCGTAGTCCTCCAACATCACCACTCTTCATTCTTACAAATTCACTGGCACAACTCGTGCCAAAGGGTTCGATAGGGTTTAAGCCGGGACTCCTGGCCACTCTAAACATTGAATTGAAGCCTGTTCCAAGTAGTCACCAACGATCTGTGTGTATCACACGGCTGTTAGAAACCCAAGATTAAGATCAAGTTTGTGCGACCTTCCATAGAAATGCCTGCTCAAACCATAACACCACCACCTGCAAAGCTTCTCCTGAGAGAAAATGTTCCGGGGATATACCGCTCTCCTGTTCTTCTCCAAACGCCGTCAGAAAACCTCAAACACAATCTTGACTCATCCTAAAACAAGATTTTAGTCCAATCTTCTCAAACCAATTGATATGATTTCTTGCGAAACTTAACCGAGCTGTTCTGCGCCTTGTCAAAAGTTTTGGACCAGCGGCAAGACTTCTCAGTGGGTAAACTGACTTGTTGAAGTCGTTTCTTTATCTCAAAAGCGATGGAACGCCGATTACAGAGTTCCAAGCAATAAAACCATCATCGGTCTGAGAAGTGACAAGATGGCCTGATCCATGCCTTCTTCAGTAATCTCCAGTAACTTGACAGCGATGGAAGACCCTTCGTACTGGGAATGTTAACCACCCTGGGCACATACGCTTAACTTCTTCCTTCTTCCAACAATGCTGGGATTTTAGCTGAAGCTGTATCACGTAAAACTATCACTCAAACAAATTTGAAACTTAAAACTGGTACAGCTTAAAAAAATCATCGAAACGTTAGAAAGAAGCTTTACAGAAAAACCAGCTAAGACGACATTAAGTCAAAGATTTATTTATAAAATTTAATTGTAAACACAAGTGGGAGATTTTATCTGTATTTTATTACCTTCTAATTCTTTAGAACGGATCAAATATTGTTGTAAATGGAGGAATGTCTAAGAAATAATTAAATATATTATGGTGGACACATTTATACCTCTCAGTGTATGTACTGGTCTCATAAAAAAATATAACCTGAGGTTTTCTTTGTAATTGATCTCATCACTAATCATTTTTAACATGCATTATAATTTTTAAAACACCTTGTTCGAAGAATGTTGTAGGTTTTATGAAGAAATCCCTTCTTCGTTTTTTTTTTTGTTTTTTGTTTTTTTAACGTTTATCTGAATAATTCTATACGTTTTTGAAATAAGGACCAAACAATAATTACAAATTTCGTTTTTTATTATCTAAAGCTTCCTAGTTGTTATAATTTATTCTTAATAAGTTTTAGGATGCAATTATTTCCGCTATTTGTTTCTTATCGGAGTTTGTTCGTTTTATCAACTTTATATCATCATTACGAGATAAATCACATGCTAAACAATATATAATTTTTTTTGTTAATATGATCGACGGTTCTACAAAAAACAAGAAGTAAGCAAACTTCTCAAGCACCTCGGACACATATCGTCATCCATATTCCAGAAAATTGTCAAACTTTTTTATTGTTTTATCAATTTTCATCTGCAGTTGCGCAGCCCTGCAGACCGACGTTTCCCCCTTTTAATAACGAGGAGCTATTCATTGCACGTGACTAGACAGGTGTAGAAGGTTCAATGAGCAGGATGTGCCCTTGTAACAAAAGACGAAAGGAAGTTGGACTCTGAATCATTTAAGAGTATGATCCTCTTATTCAAATTATCTTCCTTTCTGTCTCGTATAATTTTTTTGTGAAACGCCTATTAAAAATCACCTATTTGGTTATTTATGCCATAACCATATATGAAATATTTATGACGTAAATTTTGTAATTTTAGAAACATACACCCATGTGACAACTAGACGAATCGGAGAATGTGCTAAATTTGGAGCTTGAAAAATGGCTTGAGAAAGAAAAAGTACAGCTCTGGAAAGATGCACCAGGTTTGAGGAAAGCCAAGAGATTTATGAATCTTTCAAAAAGGAAGGCAAAGGAACTCCTCTCTCTAGCCAAGATTTGAGGAAATTTACCGACCTCTAGACTGGCCACTGTCCTCTTGACGACCACCTAAAAGGGATAAAGCAGTGACGACTCTTTCAGTAAGTGGAGTGGGCGAAGATGGTCCACGTTATGGTCACAATTTTGGGGTTTTCTCAATAAGTCGCAGTGGAGGAAAGGTTGAAATCCTTACTTTACCCCTTATAATAAAATAATATAAAAAACCCGAATTACAGGTTTTATAAATCTTATATGTCTCGCCTTTTGGTTAATTTATCATCTAAGCCTTGGTAATTTTCATTGTCCTTATCAATTAATATTAGATTTATTAAATTTATATCATCTTCATGAAATATATCAGAGGCTGAAGCATTAACATTATCACTCAGGAACAACCTATTTCTCAACGACTACAGTTATCCATGAGAACTTCTGAATTTTCGAGGTCGATGACATGAATTCGCTCTCTCATAAACTTCCTCTCATATTTAAACCTTCGTTACTTTATTTCAAACAATTAATTTGCATTGTTTCATTGGGAATAGCAGACTGAGACTTTTTCTTACCAAGAAAGAAAAATCTAACAGCTCTAAACGGACCACCTGGCTTTTAAAATGATAAATAGGTCCAGGTACACTAGGAATTAGATAAGTGAGTAAACCAACAACGCACAATTTACTCATTTACAGGCTCTATTAAATGCTTCAAATCAGCCAACTATAATTAATCATTGGGTTTTTATTAGTAAAACTACAAATTATTTAAAAACTAAATAATTCTACATTTAAATTAAACTAGGACTTGACAAACACTATAGACATTCTATAACTATAATTGGTTAAGGATTGGGTATTTAAAACTTGATAAAATTACATTCTTAAACAGGAATCGAAAAGTTGAATTGAAAGAAAAAAATAAATATAATTTAATCACCGAATACCATTCAACTGATAGTTAATAAATATAATTAAATCTTTTCTTTTCACGATAAAAACATTATAACTGTATCAGCAAAGAATTCAACACGACTAAACGTTCTTCGTCAAAAGATATAAAAATATTAAAAATTAATTTATATTTTAAACCATTTCTGAAAATGAATTTCTCCAGATGGATTTATTGACCTAGAATGTTTTTATTGACCTAGATACATCGGCCAACAAAATTATGTTTGTATTTGACTTAACGAGAAAGAAAAACATCCCGTCTCTCAACTCGGTCAAAAGGTAAAACCAATTACAAACAACTTATTCATACAGAATACACATCGAACTGTTGAATTTATTCTTAATGGGCCTTTCATTGAGTGTTTTTCAAGGAGTAAAACGTGAAATTGTTTGAAATAAACAAATAACGGTGAAAAGACGAGAAATGTTATAATTCTTTAACAACAATAAATATTGTATGAATAGATTAAACAACAACAAATTTTTTTGTATATTTTTCATATGCCTCATTGATTTTTTTTTAAATTATTATTATTATTGCCCTTGGTATTTCCATTGTGGATAATTTTTATTGTGTTATTTATTATGTCTATTTTTGAAGTTTTAGTGGTAAATTATAATAATAAAACCTATAACTTTGACGATGTTTCGGCACTTTTTGTACCGTAATCATGTATTTTTTAACTTTAAATTCACAACATAAATTAACTTTATAACAATATTTTAAAAAATTATTGGATTACTTATACTTAAAATTTAAGCGTTACGAATGGCATAATAAAAACGTTGCTGATTAATGTTTAATGAGTTCACTCCCAGTTCATTATTGTACAGAATGTTCATGATTGCTCGATTACTTCACGTTTTATAAACAGTATCGATATGGACTGTGTTCAAGATTTATGCGGTTTAATAGTAAGAAGAATCCATTAAAACTATTAAAAAATTGCGTTTAACAGTTTCAAAAATTCAAACATAATCAATACTAATGTCTTTTGTTAACGATAAATTTGTTGAATCTGACCGAAATATTGTGTTTTCAAGTTCCTAAGTAAGGTTGTTGAATTACCTTTGGCCATCGATGGTTCGCAATCAATCGGCCGAGTGAATCGTAAAATGGGCGTTCAAGTTCGAAATGGACGTGTTTTCAAGTCCAAATAACTCGGCTGAAAAGAAATTGGGCCGACGTCGGGCGCGGGAAGCTAGGAAACTGAAAGAGTGAGAGTTCCTAGGTCACCAACAATATGGATAGTAGCGCCAAGAACGGAATGGACCCCAACTACGATCGACAAGCTTCCAATTGGGCGGATCATGCTATCAATGTTGCAAAGGGTCTGCATGCTATAAGTTTAAATCATTTATTTAATTATATTTTCTTTTAGATACGAAAATTATCCATTCTGATTTATTTCTACGGTTATAGTGATAAAGGGTGCATTCGTCCCCCTTTATCGTGCAATGGGCGGACGCAAGTTCGAACATGAGGTGGTGACGGTATTCAAAACGGGTTTATTTATTTTCGGTTCATCCTTCTTCTTTTCTTTTCTGATTTATTTTCGGGTTTATATTTATTTTTGTCGGCATGAGCTTTTTATCTGGCAGGGAGGAATAGATGCGTCATGCTTCTCTACACACAGACCTCACTATGAGTGAAAGGGTGAGGTTTAGGGGTGTGAGACTGAATGGATAATTACCGTCTGATGGTAAAATGACTGGTGGTGTGTTTCCAACGAGTGTCTCGGCCCCATCTGTGCTACTGCCCTCCAACGGACCTCTGCAGCCCCTATATATCGAATTCCACCCCTCTCTGACGCTGTTTTCAACCCACGGATCTCCCCACCCAGTGCTACAAAGGCGTGGCCCGACCGTCTCCCTCTCGTTCTACCCTCTCTGTTTACAATATTCCGTTCTGTGGGGTACAGCTGATAAGGGCGTGTCTCGATACCTTTCTTTTAAACGATCCGTTTAACATATCATTAAAGGAAAAACGTAAAACCCACTTTTTCCCCTCCTCGCCTCTCACGGTCGTGTTTGTACCTTTTGGGATCATTTTTGCGTCGTCGTAAACCTTGTTAGACCTCTTCTCTAAACGGTTTTTAGGTGCTTCGCTCCCTTTCCTCTCCTGATAAAGACCGACAGACACAGTCCAATTTCTAGAGAACAGATGTTTATCTTTGAACAACTTATTTAAACAGTTAAAGCTCGAATTAATATTTAACAAACATTAAACTACCATGCTATCATTTTGAATTTTGTGCCTTGAAAAAATTACTAACTAATGTTTGGCTAAAAGTACCTAGACTGTCGTTTGGAGAAAATCTGCCTTCACAATATGATTGAAGAAATGAATAGAACGGTATCTTACAATAGGCAGTTTCTTTTTAACTGCTTTTCTCTTCTATTGGCGAAGAAATTCGATTTTTACATAATTGTCGACAAACTACAGCTTATAAATCTTTAGTGAGAAAGAAACTCTTCATCTTAATCTCTGGATACCCAATCAGCGTCAATTCAAATTATAATCGCTATTTTAGAATTATTAGCAATCTATATGTATTTACGAACGAGCATTAAAGTGAAGTTGATCAAGTCAAGAGTATGCATTGTAAATAGAATAGCCCTTTATATCAAGAATAAAAAATAAATCATCGATCTTTATACTCCTTGCTCAATTTGTAATCGAAAACGTTAGAATCATTGCAGTATTTCCTTTTACGTAATTGACCTGTATATGACACTTCATATTGGAAACATTTTTTTCTACCTCGTAAATGAAGCCTCTTTGACTTATTATGCCCTAAAACATAATAAAAAGCTAATAATGTATACGTTTTTGATTTCAGCACTAAAACTGTAAAAATTTATTGGAGAAGAATAACTTAATTTACATGTAAGACAGAGAGTAACATTGTTTCCTTTTTTTGTAATTTTTTTTAAAATCAACAGTACCGAAGATTATTTTATTTTTTATTCTCTTCGCCTTTCAACCGAGATTTTTTTTCTTTTATAATATATTATTATCGTTATTTGTTCTTGTATTGTACGAGGGTTCTTTGCGTTGCAGTAATGAGTGCCGGTCCCAAGCGTCCGACGTATTATTATTAACTAATTTTATGATAATTCATTTTTCTTAATCCTTTTTAGTTACATATCTTTAAACCTCTATATTTGCCTGTAATAATAGAATTCACTCTATCAGTAAAGGATGTGATTCCTAATTATATATTATATAAAAATAAATAAATAAATAAAATTTAACCATTAAACTGATTCGCACATGAGCACTTTACTACTAGCAGTAGTTTGGTCTACTCTCGCAGGTTTACGTTTTTTTTTTTTTTTGTTTTTGTTTTTTTTGAGGGGGGAGGGTGGCCTTTTTTTGGAAAAAAGCCCATTTGTAAGCATTCGAATTGTCGGATTCGAATGCAGGGCCGTTGGACTCGAACCCGGCACCTTTAACTTGCAGCGATGAGCGCCGTGTGCTAAACCGTTGCGGCCACCGACGCCCCATTTTTACGGTTCATTGAAACGCGTTTTGTCTTCACGTCATCTTTGGTGAGGAACTCGCGACGTAAACCAATGAGAGTAGACAATGATTAACTGTGGATCAATTCAACTTGTGTTCACCGACTTGTGAGATTTCTTGGGTGGCGAACCAGTCTCCGACCATCTGGTCTACCTCTAGTCACTGAATCCGGCTTGTCAATCAATAATAATCTTTATAAATTAGTCAAAAAGAACGATCAGAGGATAAAATCAAGAGAGTGAAAAAGAGCAGAGAACACCCGTGGTGTTTTTGGGACAAAGAAATGAAGAAATTGACCCCCTGACGGTTGATCAGGGTAGCATGGTTATGTGTGACTAATAAGACTAAAATATAAATGTAATTGTCCATTCTTCGCTTTCGTTATTCGTTTAACTTCAATAAAAGGTCAGACGTGTAAATAACTAAGATTATAATTTAGCATGGGGTACAATTCTATGAAAGAGGTTATTTCTGCCTTTCGATTTTCTTCACACTTATATTTATAGTTAATGCACTTGAATTTTCTTTTACATTGCGTAAAATGACTTAGGTTTAGAAGTACTTGTAACTTTGTAATTTTATCCTTTTCGACCATCTTTGTCTGCCTATGGATCAAAGTAAAGGTTTATCACCTCGCAGACTACAGGAGGAAATCTCACAATTTATAGATTTATATTAAAGCTTTCTGCCATGCAAAAAAATCCCGGATTTAGCTTCGCTTGATATTTTACGAATTGCTTTTCTTCCTTTACGCATATCATTATTTTAACTTATCAAATTATAACAAACCATTATACCTTCGACAACATGACCTGCCATACAAAACCCTACAACTAAAACTCAACTTTCTTGGAACTAAAAAATAATTTAGCTGCTATAAGCTTAAATAATAATATTGAAAAAATAACCAATAGTCTTGTTTTGCTGTTATACGAATTCAACCGGAACACCGATTCGTATTAAAATATTAATCTAGAAAATGTCAATTTTAAGAGAAAAGGGTGGTTTGACCCATTTAATTGGGCGCTCTATGATGTGAGAACTTAAGGGACTTTACTCGAGTTTGCTCTTATGCCTCCTTCTCATTGTCCACCCCCTCAGCGCCCTAAGCAAAGTTCGCCAAGTAAGAAATTATTAGTTAACGTCTCTTAAATTATCACTACTAAGGAAAGAAAAACTTACATTTAATTTTACTAACCAAACACTGGCTAGATAATTATCGGAATTTATTATCAAAGAATACATTCTTTAATTTAACGGTTTTTTGTCTCTCTCTGACTTAGGAAAGCTTTTAGTTTTTCTGAAAATTTTGTCATGTACAAGCTTTTAGTGATAACAATTGTAAGAAAACTAGAGGAAATCTCACAAGAACTTAAATCAACTTAAGTACAATAGCAAACAATTAATCTGCGCTAAGTGTGTACACTTCAACAAATGCTTGAGAATAACTAACGTCGTAAGATTTAAATCAATTAATTATAAAGCAAATAGGTTCATTAATTAATCCTTAAAGTCCTTAAAGTAATAGTGCGACCTTTTCTTAAATCTTAATGACCACTTTCGAAAATTTATTAATTTTATAACTACGCATGAGAAACATTTGTTCTATCACGTTTAAAAATGTATTATTGTTACAATTAAGTTAAGAATCTTTTAAATATGGTTTTTAGGAATGTTATGATCATCTTTTGACTAATTAAAAAGATTTAAGAAAGATAGACTAAACATGAAACACTGAAAAGTTGTGACGGTTTAGCATAAGCGAGTCGCCTTGAATTCTAGTTATTAATCCAAGCTTTGCTTACATATATTGTATTTATAGTAATATTATTATTTTGTCACAGAGACATTGTGGTTTAATCATATTATTAACCAATATTATAGGTTTACCAATAAACGAATCAATGATTTTTTGCATCATTTCCACGTACCTTTCAATCTGTTTTTAACTTTGGTTAACCCCTGGCAGCGATTTCTCTCTGTTTTCTTTACACCATTAAATTTGTCCAAGACGTAATGAATCAGTCAGAAACATAACTTTTCTTGAAGAAGTGAAATCATTGTGCTATATCGCCAAATTCAGGGCGACCCACAATCACCAATCCTATAGACGACCATTTTATTAAAATACAGGCAATCCAGAAGTTGAACTGAGCAGCTTGTGGCATTAAAAACTTCCACGCTGGAATCCGAGGGACATTAATCTTGGGGTCAACTGTTAGAAAAAAGCTGAGAGAGTCAAAATATAAACCAAGAAGGCTCTTGAAAGGCCTCCTTCTCTTCACATAACACCTGGAGAGAGATGAGAAGACAGATTTGCAAGGAAACACCAATCCCGGAGCATAGAGCAATAGAAAAAAGTCCTATTCACAGGGAAAACCTGAAGGCTTCCGCGATAAGGAGTACGGCGTGGGGTTGCTCCCGCCCCCAGCCCAACCACTGCCCCTTGGGTGTCAATCCCTAATCCGAGTCAATCCAAAGGGTGAGAGCACGCTGGTGCTTGGTCTCTTAACGCAACATGTCCAGACATTTACTGGAATTACTAGGCATTAACCCAATCGAACACGTTTGGGACAATCTCAAAAGAAAGGTTCAGTCATTGGATCAACCCCGACCTACCCTTAAAATGCTCCAAGGGACTTTATAGACCTAGTGGGACATTTTTTAAAACGAACATAT